CGACAGATCCTCCATGGGCCAACCTTAGTAAAGATCGTCGCAGAGCTTTTCCCATATTACAAAAGCGCCGTCCCTGGAATTCGAACATGGGATCTTCCCATAACGTTTGGTGAGGGTGACAACTAGACCACTTCACTAAGTCGCCACACCTCCTTATATATACTTATATATATATCGGTATATATAATATATACTTGTATAATATTATAAATGTGTAATATTATAGAATATTTTTTAATATAAATAAAAATGTTGATTTTTATTCATTCCAATCGTGTTATAAACTTGATTATAAAGTTATATGCATCACTGGAGTTTAATTCTTATTCGTCCCAATCGTGTTATAAACTTGATTATAAGTTAAAGTTATATGCATTGCAGCTAAATTGAATTCTTATTCGTCTAAATTAAACTCATATACATCACGTCATATTGAAGAACCCTTAATATCTATCATATGCATCACATCTATTGAACTCTTAATATCATATGCATCACGTTATATTGAACCTTTGATTCTCCTCTAACGCTAAAAAGTCGTTTTAAATTTTTTATCTCAATCCCATTCCTTCTTAATTAACAAGAACTCATTTTTTAATTAATGAAAGCCTATTTTTTAATTAACAAGATCTCATTCCTTAATTAACAAGATAATTCGTTATTATATAACTGTTCATAACACAAAAGAAGTTTATTCGGCATACTCTTTCTTTCAGAACTTAAAATTGTTTTGTATACCTTTTTGATAAAAACTATCAACTTTATATAAAGAAATATTAGCTTCTATAGGAAATGTCAGAAGTAAATATCTATAGATAAAATTCTGTTATTATAGTGTAATTTTTTTCTATACTACGTACAATAATTTTTTTTATTCTTTAGACACGTAAATGTTCGCGTTGTCATCATGTAAAAAGTATTGAAGAGTTTTTTTGTCCACAATAGGGTCATCTAAAGACTTGCAATTTATGTCATAAAAAACTAGGTTTATCTTTAGCAAATAATAATAGTTGTAGAGTAGTATCACTTGTACAAGCAAATCAGAATGATCTTTGTGAAAACGAATTTACATATACTGCTAACATAGATAATAGTCTGTTAAGCGATATAATTGATATGGATAATATAAAAGATTATATATCAACTGAGATTGAGGCATGTGAAAATAGCGAACTCGGAATGAAGATAAATTTATATATTAATTTATCATTTAGTAAAAGTGAAGATACTAGTTCTATCTATAAAAGCATTATTGAAGCTGTTCAAAACGCTGATGGATATAAGTGAAATTATATGTATCAGTATAGTGGCAAAAAACAATCTCAATGGTATAATTGTTCTCTTTCATCTCAGCATGATTGTATAATATCAAATCCTAAGCATCTATGTGTTAAGCAACCATGTTTTGAGTGTCAGGGCTTATTAAAACTTTCGCTTAGTGTTGATAATTCAATGATGCAACTTTATTTGCGGCATAATATACTTCATTCACATTCTTCTGCAAAAAATAATATTGATAAAGAGATCGTATCATTTATACAAAATAACATACAAATGACCTCAAGACAATTATGAGAAAGTTTGCAAAATATATCCGAAACATTAATGCAAAATCAAGTCTATTTCTGGTGGACTGTTTTTTCTAAAAAGCTTTACTATTGTAATGATAATTAATTTATTTCTGCAACATATCTTTTGGAAGAAAACGATGAATATTCATTATTATATAGCAATAATGAAAACAAAGTTTATGAATTAGTGTTTATCACACCTTTTTTACAACTATTAAATAGTTTATATAATGAAATACTTATTGATGCAACTTATAAGACGAATAGTGCCGAATTCGAGCTCTATTTAATAATTGCAAATATTGAAGGAGTAGGTTATCCATTATCTTATTTGTTTTTAAATTCTCCAAAAGATATACCTTTCACACGTACAACAGCTCTAGTCAAATATTTGAGCTTATTATAGAAACAAGAAGTTAATCCTATATTCGTTTTTTCAAACAAAGATTTCGCCCAGATTAATGCTATAAAAAAAATTTAGCCAAATGCAAAAATCTAACTTTGTTGGTAGCACCTTCACCGTGCTGTTTTAAGAAGATTGTACAATCAGGAAAGCCCAGTTAAAACAAATTATGATGCAGTCTGAGCAAATAGCATATTTAGTTTTATAAGCTTAGAGTTTAAACCTATAAGTGCACAGCAGTTTTGTCCTCCAAATTTTCATAATCAAATATTAAATTTGATAATAAAACATTTTAATTATCATCAACATATTCTATTTGACGCTGCAGAAACATTTTTAACACCACCCGTAATATATGAAAATTCAATACTATCAATATATAATTTTTGTGTTGTTAATAATCTTCTGTATTTGTGGATTTATATGTGGGTAAAATGGTACTAGCCAGAACGCTGAAGTCTTTGGGCTCGCTCTGCTGGCTTTAAATTGCCTTTGGCTTGTACGACTATGCTAGTAAAGACACATTGGAAGTCATTAAAACATAATTTTCTATATTGATATCATAAGCCAAGACTTGATTTACTTATCTATGTTATTACTACTAGATTTGTACCTCAGTTAATCAAAAAGTATAATCTAACTATCAAAGGTCACGTAGAGGCTGCTTGGAAGAAGGACTTTAAAAAAATATGGAAATTTTTAGCCAAAAAATCAGGTTCATGATCAATAGAACATTTTACTGATATCCAAAAATAGATATGCAGTTGTTCTTCTTTTTTGATAAATCGTTTCATACTTTGTGAGCACTTAGTAAAAGCTGCAAGTAACAGTTTTGTTGAATTACATACTATTAATCATTATACATATTATCCTTATATTTTCATTGAAAATATAAATTATAAACCATCAAATGTAGAATTTAATTTTAATTTAGATTCGAATTTTAGTTTAGATCCTATTTTTAGTTTAGATTTTAATTCTTCATTACGTGATAATTTAGAGAATATTGAATTAGATCATTTTCAAAAAATGGTAGATGATTTGAAATATTTTGTTACAGATTTGAACCAAGAGTTAGCAAAAGGTAATAGTCGTTATTTACAAGCTATTCAGAGAAACATACCGAAGACTCTTAAAATAGCACAAGAAATTAAAGCATATCATAATCGTATATCTAATATTTCAATGTGGAAAAACAAAGAATAGACTATGTTTCTAAATTGAAATATATTAATAATCAAGTAAATATTTTTAATATTTGAATATTAAAATTCTATATAGTTTAAAATATAATACTATATTTTTAATTTAGAACTATAACATTATCCATACCATAGTAAAGACATATAAGTTGTTAAAAAAAGAAATATTGATTAAACTTTGCATTATCAAATCTTATATTGAAAATAAGAAAGAGAAGTATCAATTAAAATTTGTATTATCAAATATTGTATTGAAGGAAATATCAATTAAACTTTGTATTGTCAAAACTCATATTAAAAGAAGAAAGAGAAGTATCAATTAAAATTTGTATTATCAAATATTTATTGAAAGTAAGAAAGAAAATATCGTATTGTCAAATCTTGTATTGAAAGTAAGAAAGAGAAAATATTGATTATTAATTCAAAACCCCTTAATATAAAATACAATTAATAAGACTTTGATCGAACATTATTGTTACCTTATACAAATCGATACTATAATTCTAATTTTATTCACGTGACCCACGTGACAATTGTTAAGAAACTTAACAATTGTATCAAATACCGAAACCTTGTTAAGCCCAAACCAAGAAAAAAAAGAGCTACTTTAGCTTTTACTCGAAGTATACAAACAACTGGTACAAGTCCAACTTAGGACTATACTTATTTTAATCTTTAAACTTGCCGCAACAAGATCTGAAAGACCTTGATACTCGGATCAAGATAGTTTTTAGCATAAACCTATTAGTTATAACTGTTTTAAAATTTGTATAACATACAAATATAAGTTTTCACATTTCTATTCCTAAAGTATTGTAATTAATTGACCAAATATACAGTATGTTATTAAAACTTACAAACCCAGAATTAAATAATATAGATAGAAGATTAGAGCCATCAAACCTGCATTTATATAAGTATATGATTTTATATAGCAACACAGTTCAGGTAAACCCGAATTATGTAATATATTAAGGACATTGAGTCCGCATTTACTTAATATAGAAAATATTTTATATTTATATTAGGGGCATTGAGTCCGCATTTACTTAATATATATCATAAATATATTATATTTATATAATACAGTTTAGATAAACCCGAATTATGTACTATTTTTATATATTTATATTAAGGATATTGAGCCCGCATTTACTTAATGTAAGTTTATATAGAAAATATTTTATATTTATATTAGGGACATTAAACCCATATTTACTTACTGTAAGTTTATAGTAATATGGTTCAGGTAACTCGAATTATGTAATATTTAAATTAGAGACATTGAACCTACATTTATTTAATAAATAATTATATTATATAATACGGTTCAGGTAAACCTAAATTATGTAATATTTATATATTCATATTAAAGACAATGAGTCCACATTTACTTAATGTAAGTTTATATAGAAAATATTTTATATTTAATATTATAATATTAAACTTGTATTTACTTTATAGTAATACAGTTCAGATAACTCGAATTATATAATATTTTTATATATTCATCTTAGAAACATTAAGCCTGCAGAGGTGTGGCGACTTAGTGAAGTGGTCTAGTTGTCACCCTCACCAAACGTTATGGGAAGATCCCATGTTCAAATC